ATCCATTTTTGCGAATGGATCCATATTTTATTTTAGTTCTGTTCTAGATGCTCAATTATTCTTTGTTTCAATTCCTCTTGTTCTTTAGTTAGAGGGCTTTGTTCTTTCTGAGGAAAAGGAACTAAGGTCTAAGCTACTTCTGGCAAGGCTTTGATTTCTTTGCCCTGGGTAAACCTTTGCAGTTCTTCCAATTCTATTTCTGTGAATATTTCATATTATAAATAGACGTTGATCTGCTAGCCTCTGCTCTGTTATTTCTGTTTCTGGATGTTGTTCTTTCCAGAACTGGTGCATTCTTTTCAGATATCCTCTTCTTGTTGGACTTGATTTGTAACCACAAATCATTATTTATTTGTTTTCAGTCTCTGTATATTTGCGACAGGCAAACAACTTTTCTTCCAGTAATTCTGCAACTGCTGGCCCTGGTTGCTCAATCAACAATCCTGAATCCTGTAGCCCACTTGTCACCAGATGTTCAGGAACTAGAACATCTCGTGCAGTCCTTGTTGATCTGGGCGACAACCAATCCAGTATGGGTTTCTATAAATTACATCTCACCATATTTTTAATGGAGAGACATTCTATGATGATGATGTTGTTGTTGTTGTTTCGGTAATCTACAGTTAGATTCACAGTCTAAGACTGGTGGAAACTTAGTAATTCAAGTCCTAACTAACTAACTAATAACCATTATTATTATTTTGCTTATTATTGTGCTTATTATTTAAGGTCCCTGTTTTGTTGATTTTCTTGTTTATTAGATCATTTTAGTCTGGGCTGTCTGTGTGATTTAATGTTTTTAGCTGTTTTTATGTTTTTTTCCAGTTTTGTACACCACTCAAAATCCACTGAGTTGAGTGGGCGAATGAAGCTCTATATACAAAGTTTAACTACTAATGAAAATGGAAGAGCAGGAGAGAAATGGAAGAACTTAGAAAGGAAAATCAACAACAGGAATAATACTAAATACATTAAAATAATATAGCACTTTTTCTAAAACTCTGAGTTCCTGGTCTGAGCATAGGTCCCAAAGCAAGAAATGCATTGGAATGTCATGATTTCTGACAGCCACCTAAAATGAGCACTAAAGAAGCCACAGCCACAGCCTTTATGGAACCAGACTTTGATCTCAATGTATATGATTTATCAGGGAATAAAACATTGTTACAATGAAATAGTTACCCCTGGATTAACAAGGTAAACTAAAAACCTAATCTTAGATGCAGGATTAAGTTCCAGAGTTGACTACTGGGTTCAATATTCTGCTATTTTTTAATACCAGATAAATTTAAAAGTATATCTATTGGATTTACTGGTAGAAGTTTGTTTTTTCCCAATTCTGGAGATGTTAAAAGGAAAATAAATGCCTTAAACTTGTGTAAGCCCATTCTGATGACATGATGTTACCAGCCATTGTCCTCAAGCATGGTAGGAGGAAGACATGCATCTATAAAGTCAAAAATAGGTGCTTACTGCTACTATTTAATTGTTGCAATCATGCACAAATTACCATAAATTTCAATAAATAGGCAAGGCAAACAGATATGGCAGAAAGATGTGATCATAGTCTCCATCAAATGAACAAATCACACAGTAACAGTAGTAATAGTAATAATAAAAGTAGTAATAATTGTTGCGGTCATACTTGGGCATTCTTGCATCTGTTACAACCATTGCTCTGTTCAGCTCCATTTTTACATCTAGAGGTTGGAGGATATGTTGAGATGAGGATTGCAACCTACGAGCCGCCTCCCAGTTTTCATCTAAAAATGAAAAAAAATCTGTTATAAGAAACTTTGAAAAACAATTATATTACAATAGAACAGGTACTTTCCAAATCTTTCTCATCCATTTTTTAAAGATTGGCTACATCAATACCGATGCTAATATAAAGCTACAGAGAGTCACTTTACACTGGTTTTAGTGGCATGGTTATGGTGAACCCAAGCACTTACTAAGCAAGTAACCAGGGAGAGTAAAGAAGAGCTTGACAGCAGACTTTAACAAATGATTTTTCCCTAGCTAGAACAAGAAATAGAAGAGAAAATGGCTATGAAGTCATAACCTTTAATATTTATGGCATATTTCTGAGATATTTCTGAAAATAATAATGCGTATATATGTCTTGGGAGAATTAATCAGAGATGCGGTGGAACAGCTGCCAAGACTCATCAATCCCACTGACAACTATCTTTTCTTTTTATCTACATGGGAAAAAATGATATATTATGAGATACTGCATGCAACCTTATCACTTCATATTATTCTTCTTTAGGAGGCAAACTAAAAAATCAGGGAGCCCAGACAGTGTTTTCATCCACCTTTCTGGTCAATGGAAAAAAGCTAGAAATTGAAAGGAAACTGCTTCAAAAGAATACTGGCTCACCAATGCTAGACATAGCTTTCATGATTTCCTGCTTGCTAGTATGGAGGATGCCATGGGTTTCGGTATCCATTCCTTCTTATAATCTCTGAGAAGAAAGCCATAAATGGCATTCTAAGGTCTGGGTTGGAACTTGAAGGAAACACCAGCAGAACCGTGCTATCCCATGGACTCACCAATTACTTAGTTGCTTGGGTTTAGCTCCAAATTAAGTATCCTAGCTGACTTAAGTAATAATCCAAAAGTTGACTTTCCTTTTTATCTGAAGTCCACAGGTAATAGGACTCAGATACCTTGTGACTCCTTTGTTTCACAACACAGTAAGTGCATTCCCATTCATCACTTAGCATGTTGAAGGCTGCAAGTGCTCTTTTGACCCTTTTCTGTTTATGATGCTGCCAGGGTGAGTGTTGGTAAAAGTCAGTTCTTACAGTCAGCGAAGAACAACATGACAACAAACCTGCCACTGCAAAAACAAGGAACAGATGGAAACTAGACCTCCCCTGAAGAAGATGGAACATATTGTCTATTACATAAGACAGAAATAAAAAAGAGGTATAAAAGACTATGAATATTGTTTCTCTATATAAGGCTTGTTCTTAAAAGATGCCAGTCATTAGAAATCTTTGGTTATGGCTCCCTAATCTTTTTTTTTTTCCAGTAAAGATTACTTATCAGTGGTTCTCACGTTTTTGTGAGCTTGCTTAATTGGTTCACATCTTGTCTGCTGAGTGAGGTATGACAGCCTCCTCTCAGAATGTCTCATTCATTTCTTTTTTGAGAGAAAGAGGACTAAGAATAGGTAGAAGCAGAGGAATGGTAGGATTTGTTTTATGACCTTTTGAAGGTCATAAAGGTGACTGGTTCCCCTCATTTCCTACTTGCTCTGGAATGGTTCTGTGTTTCCTAAGAGCTGGCTTAGGGGGTAGGGCCAGGGCTACAACTCCCATACTCTGTGTGGGTAAACCAGACTCAAGAAGACCCTGCCCCTCCTCAGGATCCTGAGCTGCCCAGCTGAGCCTTGGTAAGCTGACATGCATTTTGTTTTGGTTTTTTGCTTTACCAGAGCTCACTGCCTAGCTTCCTCTGACATATCACCCCATGTTTCCTGTTTCTCCAGTTACTATTCTAATAATGAAGAGAAGGGAGATTCAATTCAGATGCCTGCTGCATTCTAAAGGAATTAAGTGCTTCTGCACTGCCTTTCTTGGCCTCTGGGATGACCTGGATTTCAGAGGGCCCTGCTGTGAGCATAACCCAGTGCTGGTCTTGCTGCAGCATGTTGCTGCTGGTGCTGGTCTCAATGCCAATAGTGCTGCTTGCCTCCTCTGCTATGCTCCAGGGCCCTGGAAGCTGCCATATTTTGATTCCACTTGAGGGAGGAGAGTAGTCTCTGATTTTTTGCTGTCAATAGTTATTTCAGTTGCAATTTGCTTCTGTCTATCAACTGAACTGCTGGTTAGCAGAATAACCACATTTGCTCCTATGTAGCTCATGTTATTGGCTCTGAATTCTCTGAACCTTCATTTCTTCAAAGCTAGAAAAAGATCCTTTTTGGTTGTTATTCTCAGCAACAATAAAAGCCACTGTTGGAATTCATATAGATAGTGGTCACTGTATCTATGTGCCCTTCAGCCCTAGCCTGCTATATTACAGAACAGCTTGGAAGATCGCCCCTCCTGTCAGGTTTCTCTGATACATGTGCTTCCTCCAGTTTTAAAACCACGCTCATCTTCTTCCAACGCAGCTTCCCTCAATATTTATTCAGCATATAAGTTGAATAAATAAGGGAAGAGTATACAGTCTTCTCTCACTCCTTTGCCAACCTGGAGCCAGTCTGTTTTTCCATGTTCTATCTGGATGTAGCTTCCTAACCTGGATATACGGTTTTCATGGAGACAATGAGATATTCTGGGGTTCCCATATTTTTAAGGACATTCTACAGTTTTGACATGATCGACACAATGGCCTAATATCCTGATCAAACCTAGATGCATTTGACTCTTACTATAGGAAGGGAAAACTATGTTTAGCTGGGCCTTAATGAGATGATTCTCATTAAGGAATATAGGAATTAAAAGCTATAACTTGCTCAAGACGAACAGAAGCAATACAAAGGGAGAAATTACACTGTTAAAAATATCCATATCTGCACAAGAAATCAAGGGAAATAGTTGCATTGTTGAGAGCAGCTGTGCTAAAATAAACAGAAGAAAGAATAAAAGCAATACTCTCACTAATATTCATTACTGACCAGCCAATCAAGAAGATGTGCATTATGGTTTCCAAAAAGCAAACTGCAAATATTTCAGAAAGAAATGAAATAATTTAGAGCATTTTGACAGTGGAACCATGGGAGATAATGATCTCCCCTTTGCCAAATGTGAATAGGTTGAGGCTGGATACCTCTCTGTTGGTCTGCTTTAAATTGGATTTCTACAGGGACTTCCAGTTGAGAGCCATGATGAGCTAAATGTCCCTTTTTTTCAGTGGGACAGCGCTACAATGGAGATTGGCGCGGGATGCAGGATCCTGGCTGCTGAAATACTCTCTGGATTAAGGACAGATGTTTGAGATAGTCCATGTGACTCTGCATAGCCACTCCTCCTAAGTAAACCACATACATAGTTGTTTCACGGTTTGCCTATGGGTTGAGCAGCTGGAAGTCAAGGGAGCAACCACCTTTGCTCACAGTTGTTAATGCAGCCTTTTTAATGGACATTAAGATCAACAGAACCTCACTTCTTAATTACTTTGGATTTGGGTTTTTTTTCTGTTGCTTTAAAAGGATTAAGACCCTTCAGAATGGCAAGTTATATTGTATTTGCTAGATGAGTCACTTTCTCCTTAGAGAAAGAACTTTTAAATACGATTTTTGTAACATTTTGAAAAATATTACTTTTTGCACTAAATACCAAAAGGGTAGTCAGAATACGGACTTTAGAAAGTTTAACAATGGATTAAGGGCTCAGATCGACTTGAAATTATAATTTTAAATGTCCACAAAGAACTCTGAATTAACTAGAAAAATTTTTCCTATGGAGAAAAATGGTGATTGTTTTGTGTTTTTTCATGATAAGGGGACTTTGAAGGTTGGTCACTTGAGGGAGCTAGAGGACAAAGAAAATGGAGTAGAAATCTATAATACAAATTTGGGAATATTTGTCTGCCAAGCTTCTTGACAAAACAGATGAATTTCTTGACAAAATTGACAGAGCATGTTGTAATGAAATTACAGAACAAGAACAACTTGCAACGGGTGGTTTTGAAATTCCTTTGAAGGGGGACTTAAATGTAACAAGTAATGAGAAAGATATGGAGAAAGATAAGGGCACACAAATGGAATTGATGGATGACTTATTCCCAAAA